AAGGAGTGGGGAAAGGAAGTGAAAGAAACAAACTTTTGAACTTTAACGATACGGAAGCCGTTAATGTGCAGATTACCTAGATACTCTGCAAATTACCTAGGTAATTTGAGAAATTGAACAATTTTCGTAGCTTTAACGGATCACCCTAGTTAATCTGCAGATTAGCTAGGTAATGTACACATTAACGGATTTTGAGCTTTAGCGGTAACATATATATATATATATATATTAACAATGCTATAAATATATATATATACACACACACACTGGGTGATCGGTTAACAAACACAATCTGTTCCAACACTTTGTTTGCTATCCGAATTGTTCGTTAACCGATTATCGATTTACCATAGGTTTCTACGGGAATTTGATTAATTCGTTCTAGAGACCCCCAAAAATAAAAAATATATACTTTCTTATTACATTTATTCATATGTAATAATAAAAATACATATATACACAGTCTTTCATTTTTATTAGTCATGTTTTTTCCGTTTGTGGGGGTTAAAGAATCTGTCCAATGTCCATTGCTTTTCTGTCTTCATGATTTTTCAGAAGTAATTAATAGCATTGTAATTGTAGAGATCCCTAGGCCTATTAACCTCAACTTGGTTTGGATGCCATTTTAAGACCGTTGTTCTGACATCCTCCCACTTCAAAAGATCTTTAATAACAGATATCGGCATAAATCCGTATTTTTAGAAGAAAACATAAAATAATTGTTTCTGTCAGATATACAAAAGGCTGGAATTACAAGGGAGAATTTCAAAGTTCGGGGGAATACTGTCCAATCAGTATATACTGGGTAGAACGTCGATGTCGATGTCTCCAGCGCTCCAAAAATTTTCAAATTGTTGCCTGAAAACAAAGGAAGATCAATCGATATTCGTTATTTTACGTTGCTTCTTGTGTTTGTTCAGTGAAGTGTTCATTATCCGAACATGTGTTCGTTGTCCGATCATAAAAATCTTTCGCAAAAGTGTTCGTTATCTGATTTGTTCGTTAACCAATCACCCACTGTATATGCTATAAATATATACAGAGAATTTGTGAATATGTGTACAAGTTTGAGTGAATTCATTTTATGTCTGTATATGTCATTAAATCAAGTGTGGATCAGAAATGCTGCATTTCTGTTGTCATTTCTCTACAATCCCAAATTTGTAGGGTTGAGAATTTCATCAAGCAATTTCAATATCCCTGGGTTAATAATCCAAGACACTAATTTTACTTCATAGAATTTTTGTCATTGTGCACCTCGTCAGATCAAACACTCAGAACCCTTCAAGTTTGGGATTATAGAAAAAAAGCAAACAACTTTAAATCAAGATTTACACAAAAATATTTTTTCCAGTTGTATTTTGTAATTTAATTTCAGCTTTTCCTCTTCCTTTTCTCAGACTAAGCTTGTGATAGTTAAAAAGCTGAGATGAAACAAACAGTACTATATAGTATTTCAATACTATTTTGAATATGCTAATATTTTTCAATGTTTATCTATTTAGTATGTCAAATACAGGTTTTATGTTCTGTTTACAGTAACAATTATTCTATAAATATAGTGATAGCTAAATGTAAAAACTCACCTAGGGAAAAACCACCAGTCCTGTCTACCACATGAATGTATTTATTAACAGTGAGGTTGAGGCTGAAGTTTTAAACGCGAAAACGAGTATGTCAGACATTCAGCACTGCTTTCTTGTAAGCCTAGAAGTTTGACAATGGTGTTTGGAATGCTGATCATGATTCCACTGACTATCTAAACACCACTGTCAAACTTCTAGGCTTACAGGAAAGCAGTGCTGAATGTCCGACGTACACATTTTCATGTTTAAAACTTCATCCTCAACCTCGCTATTATGTCGTTTGCCCTTGGGTCTATGGACTCACACTGTTCCATTGCTATTACTTTGGAAGACTTTCGTCAAAAAAGCACACTTTCCCATGTTACTTCTCAGGGAGGAAACCATATTGACTCACCTAATCGTCACCATTTCTCCTCCTACCACATTACATTTATCTTCTTGCTGTCAGCAAACTCGATGCAACTAAAGGAGTTTACACAAAAGAATATTTAAAAAAGTGTCCAAAGCACTCCTTATTGTTAACTTAATAAATACTCACCCACCTAAATTTATGTGTCGTATTACTAAAGTTTAAGTTATCATTTTATACACTTTCCTACATTAAATTTAACCTAAGTTACAATACTAACAATTACTTCTTAATTAATACCCATCACAAACTTGATTTATATTTTTCTGTACCAACCACCACTGTATATAGAAAAATCTAAGCTAATAGAATGCTTCTAGATTTAATAGAAGCCCGCTTTAACGACGGATTAGTTAAACACACAAAACTTTTCTATCCGTCTATGAATGAAATTTCTATATATAATTTAGAATATAAGCTTTACTTAACCTACAATTCAAGTTGCTTTATTGTTTGTCATTTTTAATTATTATGAAATTTTGCATTAAGTTTTCAATATTCTCCACTTCCTTAATATCTGATTTAAGTTAATAACTAAATAAATTAATTCAAAGAATCACAATAAAATTCAACGAATTGTCTTATTTCCAATTAATTATTTACCAGGTTACTTCCAGGTATTCTCCAATTCTGTCTCATCAGATCAATTACTTAAAAAGATTCAAAGACAGAACAAATAAATTCTAACAAGACTCATCAGAATTTTGAATTCAAATCCTTTAAGTATTTGATCTGATGAGACAAAAAGGCCTCAAAAAACATTTAATTGAAAATAAATAATCTGACTTCTTGAATTATATAGAGATCTTTGAATTCAGTGTGATTAATTAAGATGAATAAACTGAATTCCAAAAACTGAAATTATTTCAATGTTTGTGAACAAAAAATTTAAAATATTACCATAATTTCCTGCAAATAATTGGCAAAGCAAGCATGATTTTTGCACCTCTGCAGGTTATATGCAAAAATTATGGTACTTTTGCTATGCAGAGGGGACGAGATAGTGGACCTGCTGGCCAAAAAGGCTTGCACACTTCACTCCCCCCCACACTACTCACTTGTACCAATGACGATAATCTGGGAGAAAATACACTCAGCTACAAATACCCTAATGGCAGACTGAATGGGACAACTTTATGACAGGAAGACTCTGCCACAGATTTATACCAACTCTAAAGGCAAGGAAAAGAGCCCATTACTTTGAACCTGACTCAGATACAACCCAATGCCTAACAGGTCATGGGAAATTTCAGTCTTACCTTTACTGCTTTAAAAAACATACAGACAATAAATGTGATTGTGAACTTAAAAGTGAAGGAGACACCAAACATTTTATGTTTCACTGCCCTAAATTCTACCAGCATAGAGCAAAATTTTTAGGAACATCATCACAAGTGGACTAACATGGCCACCACAGCTGACAGACATCTTTTCCGACAAACGGCTCTAGTGCAGTCTACAAACATTCGTTAAGAAGACAAAAGAACTTAAAGCAGACTATCTCAAAATACAGCAACAGACACCAAATGACAATGATCCAATCCACCAAACATTTGAAAGTAAAACCGATTACGATAGCTAGGATGGTTCCTGAACATATATGCTATGTACAGTACAGTACATATATAACATCACCTCTGTTTTACATTACAGTAGAGCATCGTTTATCCGAATCAATTGGGGACTGGGGTGGTTCGGATAACTTATTTTTCGGATAACGAATCATGTACGAAAAAATATATTAATTTATCCCATGTTGAAATTTCTCTCCATTGTGTGTCGCTTCGTGTTGAATTTTCGTCGATGTTAAGCCTAACGAAGACTATTGTATCGTTAAAAATTATTTTTTTATTTTGTACAAACAAAATAAATTTATTGAAAAATATAAAAACAATAAAAAAATTATACTTCAGATGTTAATTTAGTATCAAAAACGTAAAATATTTGAGTAGCCCAAGAAATAGCCGAAGATTGCAGCCCCACAGCATTAGTGAAAATTTAAATTTGCCGACTGGAATGCTTTCGGATAACGGACGTTTTGGATAACCAGCTTTTGGATAAACGACGCTCTACTGTAATTGTTCAGTATTGCCTTATATTAAATTGTAAACCTTAACCCTGTTTACAATATATATTGTCACACCATTTTTATATGGATTTTCTGTAATTGTTTATGCTGTTATTGTATTCTGTTTTATTTATTAAATAAAAAAGCAATGTGGGCACCCATGGATCCCATGGCAACTTCCTTCCTCTATCTTATCTACCTACTTCCTCTTGCTGCTTATCACCTTACCTTTGAATCTTCTTCCCATTTCCTATCTAAAAGGGCTAAGTCAGTCAGCTAAACGACTGACAGCTCTTTCACCCTCTGTTACAACAACAACAACAACGAACAGTACTATTTTCCTTCAAATACTGAATGTAGCTTCATTCTTATTCTGGGAAAGACTATAGAGTCATTAATCTCCCAGATCATAAAAAAATTTAATAAGAGTTTACTTTTTTATGTTTCTGTTTAAAAAGTCTAAATCTAAATGTGGCTTTTAATAATTTCAATTATATTAGTGTCGATTATCCGAATATCGATCAACCGAAACGTTGGTTAACCGAAAGCGTTCCAGTCAGACTGTGTCGTGCTGAATTGAACGTTTTTGATACTAGATGAACTTCTAAAGTATAATTTTTTGTTTTTAGTTTTCAATATATTTATTTTGTTCGTACAAAATAAAGAAATAATTTTTAACAATACAATAGCCATGATTATTATTATATAAAAATTTTCGTTAGGCTTAACATCAACGAAAATTCAATGTGAAGCGACATGCAACGGAGAAAAATTTAAACACGGGATATACAGTAGAACCTCCATTATCCGGATTGTTCAAAATAAACAAAAATTTTACGAATTTGCTGATTTGCACTTGGCGAATTACGACACTGTTTATGTACGTGATGGAATGCATAACTTTTTTTGTTTCAACAACATCTCACCCAGCACAATTGGTCGTAAACTCTTAAATATATTTTACGTAGTAATAAAAATATAACTTGACATACGTATTTATAAATAATTTATATTCAAATTACATCATTTCTATGACCAAGGGCATGGACGACGTGGGCCACCGCCTATGCCTCGCGGTCCGAAGGGCCTCGCACCTTGAAGGTTTATGCATTACTTAAAAGCCGTGAAAGCGACGAAAAAATTTTACTCGTCGTAAAACGATAAATAGTTTGTCAAATTTTTATTCATAAAAATGCAGTTTCAACTGCTTTTTATTTTATAAAATCTGTCTTCTTATGCCACCAGAGGGCCTTTTAAACAATAGGTAGTCTGTTAGCATTGGTTAGTAGTAGTCCAAATTCAATACAAACGTTTGTTTCTTGAAAATTTGATCACGATTTAAATACAGTATTTATTTTTAATATTACCGATATGTCATCGAAAAGAAAACGTGTTGTATTATCATTAAAAGACAAATTAAAGTATTTGTTTCGATTATCCGGATTTTTCCTTATCCGGACTACCTTCATCCCCAATTAGTCCGGATAATCGAGGTTCTACTGTATTAATATACTATTATTGGGATATACTAATATACTATATTAATAATGCATTTTTTCGTACATAATTGGTTATCTGAAAAATCAATTTTCTGAACAACCCCAGTTACCAATTGATTCGGATAATTGACGCTCTACTGTATTTCATCTGAAACTATAAATATATTAAAAAATTTTTTAACATTTAATATGACATAACATTTTCTAAGACAAATATAGATTTTAAAATTTACATGGCCTTATTTATATTATTTTTACAAAAATCAAATAAATAAAAACTGAAAACAAATCTATTTATTAATATTCAAAAATTCTCAGCCCTTAGTGACCTAATGCTCTTCCTTGAATTCAATATCTATGTCTAAAAAATGTATCTATGAGGAACTTTTCTGTTCAATCTTCATCTTGAGGCCGTCATTTTAATGTGAAAATTCCTATTTCTATATTATTGTTGCAACAAGAAAAAATTTTTTCTTACTAAACACCTTACCAAACATACAAAACAAAAATTTGTTATAGTCATGATCCCATTATGTTGGGTGGGTACTGAAAAAACGCTTTTACCAAATACATACAAACCAACGAATCCTTAGTCTACTATGATAATTTTCATTTTAGATGACACCACTCACAATGCCAAGCTGTGGTGGGATACAAGAGAAAACTATATTACTCTCATAATTTAATTTCAGATTTAATCATCAAAAAGAGAGTATTCTTCAGGGGTCTAGATCAATTTTTTGATTTCATCATCGAATATTATTATAGGCAATATTAAAATAATTTCATAAATAATAAAATAAACAATGGAAGTTACCACTCATTTCTGGGACTTGTAATAGCTTCATCAGTTTATCTAAATATTAATTCAACAAAATAATTCTTAATTTAAATGTGTCTACATCCATTTTTGGATATGTCAGAGAACTTTTACGGAAGCAATAATCATGCAATTTGAAGAAACAGGCTTCATTTGCACCATAAGCAATAGGCAATAGGCTCTCATTGTTCAGAATTAACTTACATTTAATACAATGCACACAATAATTCAATGTTTTATAGGAACCAGATGAAGTAAGTAAATGATATAATAGTATAAAAACAATCAAGATAGCATCAAATTTGACAGTTTGCATTAAAATCCTTTACTAATATTGGACCTATAAAGCATTTCAATTCTATCAATGACAAAGAATGAATGAAACAAATTTTTACTAATCATTGAAATCAATATAAAATTAATACTTTCTTAAATAAAAATAAAGATTTGTTAATCAAAATTCAGTCACCTCATTACCCATATGAAATTTTCACTTATAATACTTACTCTGTCCAATTTCATGGGGAATATAAATATTTCCCTTAATAAAATTTTTGCGATATTTTTGTAACCATATAAATTTCAAAAAACCTAAACATCCAATTTACAAATCATCTCTTAAGATAATAAATTATTATTAAGAAGTAAAAATCCTCATGAGAACCATTACCAGTAATAATTTAATGATTGGTATCTTTCCTATTACACTGACATTTAACAGTCTCCCAACTGGAAAATTCCCCAGAAAATATGTACTATGTTCACACATATGGTTCACTGTAGGAGAAACGAAAAGCCCATACTTTATCAAATTTGGGTGGTAATAATTTTATAAAAAACATAATACTTACAATGTATATCTTCTTCTGGTACTTTTGAAACCGTGCTTGTAGTTATTAGTAGTAATTCAAACACAAATAATTATCGTATTTATCTTCAGGCACTTGGCAATACTTATCATCAAGTTTTATTCAGTCGACTGAATGATAAGTATTGCCAAGTGCCTGAAGATAAATACGATAATTATTTGTGTTTGAATTACTACTAATGTATATCTTGTTCATGTTCATATTGTATAAAGGCATACCCTCTTGATTTTTCAGTATTTTTATTGCGCACAAGTTCAATCTAAAATGTTAAAAAGTTTTAATTAAACAACAGTACATTTATTTTTGTGTGGTTAAAAATCAATTATTACATTTTAAGTTTCATTTTAAAAAATTCGATAAAACTTTATCTTTGGAAATATGGTTTAAATGTGAGGTTTATGGTTTCCTTAATTAGAAAGAAGTGTTCTTTGTGACTTCAAGTATGATGATGCGTATTTTAAAAGATATGTAAGTGATGTATTTGTGCTATGGAAGAATGACCGAAAAATTGATGAGTTTGTTAGCAAGATCAACAACAACGATGACAGCCTCAAGATGAAGATTGAACAGAAAAGTTCCTCATAGATACATTTTTTAGACATAGATATTGAATTCAAGGAAGAGCATTAGGTCACTAAGATGTATGTCAAACCGACGCAAAGCCCGCTGTACATTCCATCACACTCAAATGATCCATTCCAGTACAAAATAGCTGCCTTTCATGCCGTCATTAGAAGGGCCTTTCTCTATTACAGTAGTACAGGGTGTCCACCATGAACCTGACAAATTTGAAACTGTTGTAAAAAATCTAGCGCTCAGGAAGGATGTAAATTAATGCACATTTTATGATGAAAAACTCAAAAGTTTTATTAAAAAAATCAGTGAACCTTTACATGAGCTCCTTTTGTTGTACGCAGAGCATCGAGTCTATATTCCATTTCCTGCCAGGTTCTTTCAAGCATTTTGGGCATGACAGCAGCAACAGCATTGTGAATGCGCACACGGAGATGTTGAAGGTCACGAATTTTGACACCGCTGTAAACCTTGTCCTTGACAAATCCCCAAAAGAAAAAGTCTAAGTCCAATCCAACAATCAGGAAACTGTACCTGGATTGCCACCGCCATGTGATTTTAACATGGTTCCCTTCGTCAAGAAGTGTTGTTTCCGTAACTTGAGTGTGTTTCTCGAGGGTGGCACTTTGCCAACCATGCAATGAAAGTTCCGTTGCACTTGAATCACAGAATTTGTTTCAGCATACCACCACACAGCTTGAGCCCGCTCTTGTGAAGAAGCCATTTTGTGTTTGACTACTGCCATGCCATCTACACTCACTTTGGAGGATTTTCAAAATTACCTATACAATTTCCACAATTTCTCCGCCAAATGGAATGCACAACATCTGATTACTGCCTTGCACTTCGATATAGCAATCAAAACAAATGTGTCAGGTTCATGGTGGACACCCTGTATAACAGATAGGCAGAAAGAAATCAATACAATAACTCAGATTGCCAGAGTGCTAGGATACAATGTGGATATGATAACAGCACTGATGAAGCAACAAAATAAACAAAGCAAAGGCTCCAGCCAGAGATTTCTCTAAAATCACAAAGTTCCCTTATGATAGAAGTAAAAATCCATCATGAGGAAAATTTCAGACCGGAAAAAGTCCTGTTAATTTTCAAGAGAGCTCCCAACTTATATAAAATATTAAGGAACAATAAAGACAAGATTGATAAAAACAGAAGAGCAGGAGTATACAAGATTCCATATTAAAACTTGGAACTAGACATCAAGAAAAATTATATTGGTGCAAAAAACACCCTAAAGATAACTTAATTAATATTTCAGAAGGCATGTCAATAGATCCCCAATGTTATAAATTAACAGAGGGCACCTCTACGTGTTAAACTCTGTTTAAAAGCACACCCTGTTGTACGGAATGTTAGGAATGAATTGGATAACATTGCTTGTCAGTATACTGTTACTCTGTGAACACCAGATAACACCAGTTGTCGGTTTTACTCTGTTTTGCCTTTTGTTGGGAATAATTTGTATTAACTGAAAATGTAAGTGTTCATAGATACTCTAAAATGAATAATCTATACTTTTTTTTATATAAATGATGTGTTAAACAGCAATGATTTATACATTTTTCATATTATAGTGAAAAGTCATGCACCTATGTGATAAAAATATAGTAACACAATTTTAAGATGTTCCATTATATGACATGTAAGTTTTTTATGTTATTGTTTTTTTATCTCCCCTCTTTTTTATGTCATATTTATTAATGTCATGAACCTTATTTTGATTTGTATTTTTTACAGCACTGAAGAGGGGTTGGAAACATAAACCAACCCAAAATGTATTTGAATAAAAAATTATTTTAAATAAACCATAATGTTTTCCTAACCAATTGCTGTTTGGTCATCTACGAAGAATCATTTTTTGGATTACGAGGACACTACACACAGAATTTGAACATATAGCAACCATACCTTCTACATTTAGTAGTACAGAAAGACTCCACTTAACGCAGGGGATGCATTCCTAGATGATAGAGCACTAAACAAAACAGTGTTAAACGGGGTAATCTTAAACACACAAATAATGGGGATACGTGAAATAGAACAGAAAATAACAAAATTTATCAGTTTTTTTTGTTTTATTTTGTAACATTTATTGTTAAATACTTTTTTATTACATTAATTATAGACTTATTTATTGCTAATATCAATATTTATTCAGAAAACATTCATAAAAATAAAAAAAAAGTTTGAGTAAAGAAGTTATGTTTGTGATGAGGAAGGTTCTTCCTCATTTGACATCTTTTGTTTCTTTGTGAAGAAGTCATCTAACGTTGCTTGCCTTTTCCTGTTTTGTTCAGCAAGCAGTTGTCGATAGCAAGATATCGCATCCATGACACTTCGTCTTGCCTTTGAACTTCTATCAAAATTTAAATCATTTTGTATAAACTGATCCATAATTTCCCGTTATAGTGGCTAAACTTTTTTTTTTAAAAAACCCATTGAAAGTTCCTTTTGTTCCTCATCTTCAGAAACGCTAATTTCGTCATCTTCATGCACCTGTTGTTCTACTAATTCTTTAAGATCATCATTGGAAAAACTTTCTACAGTTGTAACTTGCAATAATTCTTCAATATCCTGTGCATTTATATTATCCAACCCTGTTTCATTAGCTAGCTTGACAATTTCGTCGACATCAACAATGGATTCTCATGTCAACATCCTTGCTTAGCTCCAGCCATACATTCTTCCATACTCCTTTCAAACATTTCTCGGTCACCTCATTCCAGGAAAGAACAGCATCCATGATATTATAGTTTTTCCAAAAATCTCTAATGGATTGTTTATCTGCTCCATATGTTTTATCAATCAGTTGTCAGAATGTCTGCTGCAGATAATAAGCTTTAAAATTTGATATTATGCCTTGATCCGTTGATTGGATTAACAAAGTTGTATTTGGCAGCAGGAAAACCATTTCTACTGGAATGCACGTTGTTATGTCAGACAAATGCGTTGGATGGCTTGGAGCATTATCGATCAAAAGTAGAGCCTTTGGTTCTAGTTTTTTAAACTCGCAGTAGTATTTAACAGGAGGGCAAAAATGTTTGGTAAACTAATTCTGGAAAATTTTGATAGTGATCCAAGATCTTTTACTGGACTCCCAAATTACTGGTAAAGATGATTTTGAAATTCCCCTCATTACTCTTGGGATTTTGGAATGATAAACAAGCATTAGTTTAAATTTAAAGTCTCCATTAGTGTTACCACCCAGTAGAAGTGTTAAACAATCTTTTGTAGCTTTAAATCCTAATGCTTGCTTTTCTTCACAGAATAAAAATGTACGTTTTGGCATTCTCTTCCAGAAAAGGCCCGTTTCATCAACATTGAAAACTAATTCAGGAGGATAATTCCCTCATTCAATGATTGCTCTTAATGTTATTGGAAATGCTGCAGCTGCTTTTGTATCTCCACTTGCCGCTTCTCCAGTAACCTGTATGTTATGAAGATTGTTTCTGTTTTTAAATCGATTAAACCACCCATGACTAGCTACAAAATTTTCACTCGTGTCGCCTTTTTCATTCTGAATATGGTTAAAAAATTTTCTCGCTTTTTCCATTATAGTTGCTTGACTTAATGGCATATCGCATTCAACTATTGGATTGTTCAGAAAGTAATTTCGTTTTTTCCATGGAAAAAAAAACAATATTTTTATAATAAATAAATATTTTATTGAATTATATATCGACCATTTTGGTCAAATACCTGTTGTCATCGTTTCTGGTAGTAGCATGATTTCACATTCATAAAAGTTTTGATCGTAGCTTACAAAAAAAATGACCCAATGATCTTTGACATTGTCATTTCAAGTAAATGTCTTACAGTTAAAAAAAATTTGTATAGACCGGAACAAGTAACAATCTGATTGTGCTGGATCTGAAGAATATGACTGATGAGCACGTCCCATCTAAGTTATAACAGTTTCTGACGAGTTACCAAACTTGTGTGAAATTTGACATTATCATGGTAAAACACTACACCTGTTTTGTTGATTAATTCTGACTGCCTTTTCTGTTTGATAATATTACTCAATTTGTTTACTCGATGGCAGTACACTTTTGAACCAATTGTTAAATTGTCTGGTAAAAGCTCAAAAAAAAATTTCCTTAAAATCCCACAAAAGAGAGCATCTCTCTTTAAGAACATGTGGAACCCATATATCAAGCTTTGAAACTAAACCAATTTGTTTCAATTAATCATAAACAGTTCAATTTGACAAATTTAATCTCTTAGTGATTTCACATGTTGTTATTCAGCAGTTTGCTTCAATCAGTACCTTTATTTTGTTTTCATCGGCTTCAACTGGTCATCCAGAACATGGTGCATCTTCAATATTGAAATTGCCAGAACAAAATTTTGTAAACCAGTTTTGGCACTGTCATTCTGTCAATACACCTTCTCCACACGTCACACAATTTTTTCTCGCTTGAACAGCATTCTTACCTTTTCGGTAATAAAAGAGCAAAATATGCCGAAAATGCTGCTTTTGATCTTCCATATTTGATGGAACACAAAAAATAAACAATTGCACAAAATCAAACAAAATATTTTACAAATAAGCCTTAAAATGCTAGCTGTCAAAATATATAATGATAATACGGCTTACAATGAAAATGACGGAAAAAATACGACTAATCCGTCTAGTGGTAAAAAAACGAAATTACTTTCCAAACAACCCAATACATCGTCAATCCAGATGGAAAGTCATTTTTCCATTTCCTCAAACACATTGCTTCTGGTACAGGTAATTTTTGTTGCCAAAGTCACTGTGGTTGTTGATGATACAATTTTTTCTTTATTTTTTAAAATTGTCCGTATTGTTGAAGTTGACAAATTTAATGCAGTTCCAATATCAGATTGCCGTCACCTGCATCTAATCATCTGAGCACTTGCATTTTAGTTTCCAGTGAAATGCTTTTTTTTCTCACTTTACTTTCTTTTTCTTGGCAATCACTCATTGTAAAAACTAAAAAATGCCATATTTATCACAGTAAAATAAAAGAATGTGTTTATATCTTTATACACACAGTAAAGCTGATAACCGATCATAAATCAACTGTTAAGCAGCAAACATGCATTCGGGGAATCCCAACACTGCATGCAATCTCGGGGAATTCCAATAATACCGCGTAATACCAAAACAGTGTTAAGCAGGGTCTAACTGCATATAGAAGAAACAGACATGGAAACAAGGTTAGTTCCAATTTCATTTTTAAAACATGGGACTCCCATTATGTTTTTGACAATTTCCCTCATTAATGTCTACAGGCTTAGCCAATATACTACTTCATTTGTTGTACAGATTTTGCAACTATTGCAATAATATTTTGCTGCCAAAAATTTCCCCAAGACTTGTTTAATTTTCTTTGAACCTAATTTACATATTTGGATATATTCTGCATCCCTGCAAATATAAATTCTATATAAATTTTTTACATTTAAAATTCTAAAAATACTTACTTTTTTATGGGTCCGAAAACTTCAAATTCTTTTTTTTTATGTTGATTCTTTTGTACGAGAGTTCTGCAAGAATGCAAGTATTATATATGCAAGTGCATCATTTCCCTTTTAAAATTTTAATTCACATAAAATTAAATTAGGAATTCATCTATATTCAATACCATATTATATATTAATATTAAAAATGTAATTTGTTAAAAACATTCAATATTATCTAAGAAATTGAAGACAATAAATCACAGATGAAGTTGCCAAGAAAAAGTCTCCTAATACACGAATCCAGAAATTTTGAAAACCAGCTCTCTTCAGTCATGACAGTCACTATCATGACTGAGAAGAAAACAAAAAGTCTGATAATTAGGGACACGGTGTAGTAACACTTAAAATTTCAGGCACTAGACTTCCTTACATTTGTAACAGAATTTGCCTTGTTTGAACTATTACTGCTATTAGTGAATAAACCAATTTTTAAAATTTGTCTTAATATAAACACAGTGAAATCAGCACAAAGTGGGGATAAGCTCAATTTATCAAATATTTTCATAAGTAAAATTAAAGATACTTTGTCTTATTTTTGATTAATTTTTCTCCTTTTGCTAATTCAAAACTACACCAGTATAAGTCCTACATATAAAAAAATTGAAATATTTAAGGGAATTAACACACAAAGAATTACATTTAATGAACACCGACCCTTTATAATACATTATAAAGGGGAGTTCACTGTACAGTACTGTTTATATTAATGAGAAATTATTTATTGTGACATCGTCACAATGTTGGCCTGCAATTTTTATCATATTTTTTAAATTTGTTTAATTTAAAATATATGCTTTCCACCTCAAATTAATGATGTCTTGTCCCTGTACATCATACTTTTCCTTTAACAATATAGTCATGCCAGTCACCTATCTAACACCTTTCGGGAGAAAATTTTTGAACTGAAACAACGTGACTTTCAAGTTTGCATTGTAAATTCGTGTACAGTTAATTATGACAAGTTCAACTCGTGGAGCATAAATCATACGAATTTTATATAATTTAATTTTATATTTATCTTAAATGTATTTAGCATTACAGTTCATTACTATTAGAACATTATATACAATTTTTATACAGAATACTTACAATTCTTGCAACAAATAGTGTTTTATATGAATCACACTTGCCAGATGTATTGTTATGGGGATCCCTTACAATTAAAAGCATTTTAATTTCTGTTAAACAACACAAGAATAAAAATTTTCATTTTTTATGTAACTTATATTCAAGGCAATGTCTTTTTCTAACTTGTTTATTGCTTGAAACGGAACGTTCACAGAGTTACCTTGTTTGAAACCCGTGTCAGATGTATTGGTCACATCTTTTAATGCTTCTTCTCGCCTCTGAAAAAGAAATTAAATGCTAAAATTCTTCACTTTAAAACTTTTTCATCCTATCAGTAATTTGTATCTTAAATGAATCATCTTAATGTGTATACAGTGGAACCTCGGTATACGACCTTAATCTGTTCCCGATGTTTGGACTTATACTGAATTGGACGTATACCAAACCAACCTTTCCCATAAGAAGTAATGTAAAAATGATTAATCCGTTCTCGTGTAAAAAAAAAAAATAGCTGGCTTTAAACACCTCGCTTTCCTGGCTAGTTCCTGCTTGATTTTTCGTGAGATCAGCGTGTATCTTTTTAGCTTTCTCGCAAAAAATTGCTTCCGATACGCTGTCTCCAGCACTGTTTTTCAGTTATCCAAAGCAAAAGCAATTTCTCGACACGATCTAATGTCTTCGATCTCTGTTTAGAAATTGATTTAACCCCTTTTGCAACGTTAGGAGATTTAATAATGTCTTTATTTTTCACGATTGTCGATATCGTCGTTCTCGGAATACGGTAAACAACAATTAAAATCTCGAACACGAGTGCCACCGTATTTCTCAACAATCTCTTTCATCAGTTCCATTGTAATTCTAGTCATTTTTTTAGTTTTCTGTCGCTTTTCATTTGCCTTTTTGCGATTCGTGATTAATAAAAATAATAAAATTTTACTTACGAATTAAAATCAGAAGAAATTTAACAAAGTTATAAACCGTTTCACCGCGAACATCTAGTCTGATCTAGTACACCGATAGTGCTACTTGTTCATTGATGGCGCGTATAATTGAATTATGTCGTATACCGAGCAAAATTTGTTTCGTCCAAACAGGACGTATTCCGAATTGGACGTATTCTAAAGCAGACGTATACCGAGGTTCCACTGTATTTCATTATAAAAATGTAAATCTTTAAATACATTTGTAATATTGATATTTTGTGACATGACTGTATGACATGCTTTACTTTGACATTATTATTCATAAGACAGATGCTAAAAATGTTTTTAGATATGCAATTACAGAACAACTTTTAAAATGGGGTTGAGTTTAGTCAATAATATTTTTCATTATATTGGTAATTTGACTGCTAGACATACTTATTGTTTAGCTTTACACTTGCATTGTGAAAAAAATAAGATTAATACTCTCTTCTATGTTATCAAAACATCAAGATTTTCCAATGTGCTAAAAGCACTTTTTATTGGTGTCAATAGAATATCAAAAACTCCAGACAGAAACAAGACAGGAAAAAAGTAAGGTGAAGTTTTTTCCTATTTCTGAATATCAATTGGTAGGGAGTATCCCAAGGATCTTTCTTGTGATTTTCCCCAAAAAATTTTTTCCATGCATCAGACCTTGTCTTATTTATTTCTTTTTTGAATTTTTTAAGTGCCTGTTTGTAGTCTTCTTTTAGTCGTTTTCTATTTTTGATGGTGTTTCTGGTCATTTTCCTTCTAAGTTTCTGGACCTGCTTTTTCTGCCTCTCTAGTTCGCTTGTCCACCAAGGTGTTTTCTTTCAATTGGTATTTTTTATTTTGGTCGCTTGCTGTCCAGCCACGGAAATACGAAAAAGGGCATCGATTGGTTGCAAACCCATTTTAATCGCAAATTTTATATTAGAAGGTATCCTAACATCAATACTTAACTCTTAATAATCTAATTCCAAACAACGAAAAAACTTCCTTGATGTTAAATTCTTAAAATCCATTTCAAAACTCGAACAATCCTAATCTTGCGAATTCAAATTCACCGCATCAACAGCAGATATTACCAACGCCACCTGGTTTTAACTACACGACACAACTTAACACCTACTTCGAGATTATTACCGAAGTGCCGCCATGACCGATACCTGTTTATCAATATCCGAAATAATAGGCTTACAAATTTCTTCTGTAGGCCAGATATTATCACATAAACGTTTAAATTCCGCTAGAATATTTTGAATATTTACATTTAATTCGGTAACTAGTGACGTTAAATACTCGGCGGCTCCCCTCCGGAAGGAATCAGTCGGAAGCGCCGCCATTTTAGTTACCTAGCTATACATTAACGAAATTTATTAAGACACTCCGACAGTTCCCTTGCGAGAAACCGAATAAAGCCGAAAAATGTGAACTTAATAACCATCGATTTCGATGGGTATCGCTATCGTTAGTATCCGCTCACTAGTTTATCGATAATCGCGTTGTAATAACAAAACGATTCAAAATACCTGAGGCACGTTGAAACGTCTTTTCTTCATCACTTGCTACTAAATTCTGTCACGTGATGTATTTAGCCAATGGGAGAATTATGACGTTTAAGAGCGATGTTGCCAGAAAAAAAATTATCGACATTTTATATTTTTAAAACATATATATAAATTAGTGATGTAACGAATAGGATATTCGGCCTCAGGCCGAATACCGAATATTCGGCCAGGAGTGTGGCCGAATAGCCGAATATTCGGCTTGATTAACGCACGTATGAAAATCGCGCAAAATCGCATTATATGGCAAGGATCGCGCACCCTTTTCTCTATTGGCCCGCTGTCACTACACTTCTTCAATCGCGTTAATTCTTGACAGTTGTAGCGGACAGACATGAGCGTCATGGCAGTATGTTATACAAGTGCTGTATTATTTAAATTATTCTTTCGCAGGAGGGAACAATTGCTCCCTGGTATACTTCTCTCTAAGCAAATATGATGGTAATATCATTCTTTCGCAAATCATATACCTATAAGTCCATTGGAAAATTGTGTAAATTAGGCGTCTAACGTAAAGCATAATTTAGTACAAGATATAACAACACGGTGGAATTCTACCTTTTATATGTTAGAAAGGCTTCTTCAACGAAAACGAGCTATTTCCCTCTATCTAACTGATACAGCAAACATCTAATCTGACTGCAGAGCAGTGGGAGATTGTAGACCAATTACTGAAATTATTAAATCTTCCCCTTTCGCGATTGTTTCGACCCGACACTTGTTCGCGAGCATCTCGATAAAGCTCTCGCTATCTGTCGACATTCCCCCTGCTGTTTATCATCGCGTCGCGTTTGTTTTACAATACGTAAGAAAGTTTTCGTCCCATTTGGGTTCTGTCATTAACACACCCTCTTGACCCGATTCAATCCTCGAAACTCTCCGACTTGGGAGTTTCGTAATTAGTCGCAATTTCGACGCGCTTTTATGACCCTTACAGAATTTAAATATTTCTATGGCCAAGATTTCAAATTGCCAATTTTAAAATTGTTCCGTAGAAAAAATGCCCAAAACCTGTTATAGATTCTTAAACATCGCTAAACTGCACTTAATAATAGTAGTTATGTCACTTTTTTAACTCTACCTGGTGATTACTAAGTGTATCCTTTTCTTTAGTAAGCCCGTTATGGTTTCCGCCAGGTGCACTGAGGAGCAACTGAATAGTGAGAGATGGGGCCTGACATCATTCCGGATGGATTATCTCCCAAAAAATTGCCGGAGTTTTTCATCCTGTCCGGATTCATTCCTGATCCGCGAGAGTGTTAAGGGAGTATAAGTTTTTAAATTATGTTATACTAGCTGTTATCCGCGGCTTCGCCCGCGAGGATTTTGCAAGCAAACCCCATTTATATTCAGTATTTCAACAACCATAGTAATTGTTATATAACACTTGAGAATGATGAGAATTGCCGAGAATCAAACAAACTGTTTTTAATTTAATCAATTTTCTGGAACGTTTACAATCGTTCTATAATCGAATCAATATGCAATAACAAATTCNATAAATATTTTGTGATAAGTAAGGGTTATATTGATAATTGTGTATTATGGATGTATTTCATGTACTGTATTTGTGTAATGTGTAAAATTTTGTATTTGAATCAAGCTTATAAAATTAGTCTGAAGTTTATAAAATGCCTGGGATATAAGATAAATGTTATATTTCTAAACATTAAATTGTGTTTAGTGTAAAATAGATGTGCATAACAAAGGCCAGTGTCTGCTTTTCCATACAATTTTTTTTTTTTTCTGACTTATAAGAGATAGAGTTCACTTTTTCTACAAAAACAAAGTTATGTATCATTAGACTGTGTAAGACTCACAATCAGAAATTTTGTTATTATTTTTCCTACATCTCTAACATTAGGGAAAACTGACATGAACCAAATGACCTATAATTTTTGCTTATAATCAGTTTTACATACAAATAAGATTAATACTGATATTTAGATTAAATGTAATTTAGGTTCAGCGGTTTGCTCTGGGCGATGATAAATCAGTCATTTAGTTAGTCAGTCAGGACAAGTAATTTTATATACTTAGATTTAAAAAAGACATTCAAAACACGCATAACGTTTTTCCGGGTGACCCATATGTAAAGTGCTATAAACAAAACATCATAGGACTACTTACCGATTGTGCCTCGTTCGAGACGCCATTGCTTAAGCTTGCCGTAGTGGTGGAGGTGCATTCTGGATGGCGGATGCACACGAAACGTGCGACTAAATATCCAGATGGCACAACGCGTTGATTGGTCAGCTGAATGACGTCAACCTACGAAAATCGGAAATGTTGATCGATTAGCCTAAACTTTGTATTGTTGTTGTTGTTGTGAGAGCGGGCAGACATTATAGTTATAGACTTTTCATCTAAAACTTGATAAAAGGCACTTATAATTTCACTAGCTCTTGTGTCTATTGATGTTAATTGAAAATTTTGCAATAATTTTAACATTAAATTACGCGATATCAAAGATTTTAATGTTGAGACATTTTTAAACATCAAGAAGTAACTTTTATCTGTTTTCTATTTTTGTAAGCTTTTTTTTTTTGTATATTTACTATAATAATAAAATAATCAAAAACAACAAATGTAAATTTCAAATTAAGTTTTTTTTTACATTTTTTATTAGACAATACAGTATTTTTAACCTTACAGAAACTCGTATTTAAAATGTTTTATATATATATATAACAACAGAATTTGCTAAATGGAAATGCAGATTAGTTAACAATTTAATATATATTTTCATCTAAACATAATTCATACTTTTTAATGCATAATTGTTAAAACATTTTAAATAATAAGTTATTTTTTTTACAAATTCTCTAATCCATTGGTTTGCTATTCAAATCAAATCCTGTGAAAACTTAAATATAGACACTGGATATATATTTTTCTATGTAACTAGGTATGCAGCACATACAAGGCATCTAGAAATAGTTATTCATTAGTATGGTAATATTATTTTAACAAAAAATAAAAAGGATTAAAAAAATAGTTTACTATGAAAACATTACAGTACAAATGTAACATTACTTTTTCCTGACACATATTGATAAACAATTTCCACGATGAAATGTATGGAAATTCTTATTTAAAACATATATAACTATTATATTCAAAGGAATTTAAATACTTACAGCATTATTGATTGTTAAATAATTTATACAAGAATTCTATACTTTTAATTTGAAAAATGGTCATACAAATTTGATTAAACATATTTACAGATATATCCATGATGGAACTGGATATATGAAATTTCTGTAAATTTGAAAAGTATTGTTTCTTAACACACAGATTTTGAACTGACATTCAAAAGCACAAAATGTCTATTGACAGAAAGAACTGTCAATTCTAACTGAAACATTAAAAAAAAAAAAAATTCAGATAAGAGTAATCTATGGAGAATATTCTTTATTCAAAATTGTTCAACAACTTTTACATTTAATTTAAACTTTATAATTTGTTAAAATTTCTCTTTCAGAGGTATACAAAACTTAGCTAATTTTATTGTTTCATCTAACTAAATTAAATGCATATGACAAATTCAAAAAATATTCTGACCAGTGGCGTAGCGTGGGTGTCAGCCACCCGGGGCGGAGGAAAATTTCGCTCCCCTTATTTAGATATCTCAATTTAAAAGACTAAAATTCAGTTTCGTCACAGAATAAGTAAGGTTTGTTCGAACAGATGTTCCTGACGGAATGTCATTTTGCAATGCAAAGAATAATGTGCAGTGCATGCCTGTTCTAAATCAGTTACAGCTAGCAACTAGAGAGACTTGGATAGGCGTAACGCAAATGACCTAGCTCTATTGAATATTCGATGTGTATATATACGAGTAAATCGTACAAGCAAAAATTTAAAAAAAAAAAAACGGTCGACAGGTCGCGCACGATATCCCCAGACGGCGAGTCGATTCCCGGACTGTCCGGAAGGTAACACTATTCCGTGCTTATTTCAATCGGTCCGAATCGTAGGTGCGACGAGAATATAAAATAAAATGGTTCAAATTCTTACAAGATATTATTATTACAGTAGAGCATCGATTATCCGACCCCCGATTAACCGTCACCTCAGTTAACCGACCGCGTTCTACTCGGCAAATTCAAATGTCCGCTAGTGATGTGGCGTTACAATATTTGGCTATGTCTTGGCTACTTTAATATTATTTTTGTTAAATTTTTTAGTGTTGTAGCTGGCAACACTGGCTCGTCCATGAAAGGGAGGCCAGTATTTAAACGAGGCTTAATTTTCTAATTATGAGTGGTTGTTTCTTTGTGAGCAATAAAATAATTTTTAACGATACAATACCGACAATTATTATTTTTTAAAAAAATCTGATAGGGTTAACATGGAGGAAAATTCAACGCGAAGTAGGTTAATAGCGATATACTAATATACTAATTACATGGGATATAATAATATACTACACTAATAATGGATTTTTTCATACTTTTCGGTTATCCGACTTTTCAATTATCCGACCAACTCCAGTCCCCAATTGAGTCGGATAATCGATGCTCTACTGTATTTATTGTGAAATTTTGCCACCCCTGCCGCCCCCACTACGCTACGCTACTGATTCTGACTTATTTTAATTATAAATTTCATCTTTTCTCAAACTTTTTATGAATAATATCTGTAACAAAGTATAAATTTTCTGTTATTTATTATCTGAGCACGTAAATTTAAAACACTAATCGCACTATTAAAATGATCTATTGTGTACGATTTGGTTCAGAGATGCATAAAGATCAAGTATTAAGTTAAATGTTCAAAAAAAAATAATCAGCTGTATTTTCACTTTATACTCATCACTCCATATTACGACAACTAAAAAAAAATAATCTATTTCGTCATGATTCGTACTGACGACGACAAAATATAATCTATACTTCGGTGGGTGACGTCATTCAGCTGACCAATCAGCGCTTTGTGCCATCTGGATATTTAGCCGCACGTTTTCAAAATACCTTATAAGCACAAGCTGTAATTGTACCGAATTGTCGCTTTCAATATAAGTTTGTCCCATGTATCGATAAAGCGAGCATTTATTTTGTAAGTGACGAAACATTATCCGGCAGTGGTGAGAAGTTCCAAGATGGCTTCTGTGAGATGCAAGGGATATTTCGAAAAAGTGGAAAGAGGCAAAGCTTTAGTTGACGCAGCTGCCAATGGTGATTATTTTCAGGTATTAAGCTTATTAAATGCCGGCATACCTATAAATGCCGCGGAATACAACAAGAGTCTATTCTATGCATCGAAAAACTACAGGACTCCTTTACAAATAGCTGCCTCCAACGGACACGCAGAATGTGTTAAATTACTGATTGATAGAGGAGGTGAGTTTTTTTCTAAATTCCTTTCTAAACAATATAGTGTAAATTATCATTTTGAATAATACAAACGAAGTTCATTAGTCAGTGTTTGTAACTGTTTTTTAAATCTAGAAAAATAAATATCTTTAGTCGAAAATTTAACCCCAAACTCACTAAATATATCAGGGCTGAACTTACTGGATATTTTTATATTGAGTGTAGCCTACTGACTTACTTTACGTATAAACAAATCAGTAGTGTGCGGTGACAATTTTCAAATGGGATCAGATGTGAGAAGACCTATTTTTCATACATTAGAACAATTAGCACTTATGCAGTTTAGGGGTACGGCTGTTTGAAAGGTTTTCTTCCATAAAATTAATCGATTCTAGACTAATTCGACTCGAATATTTTCAAAACACGTATAATTTTTTGGGAATAACCCATATAAAATATGTTATAAACAAAAAATTGTCGTAATACTTACCTAGTGTACCCCGTTCGAAGACGCCATTGCTTAACGTTGTTTTCGTTACGGAGTGGCACATAGGACGGCGGACGAGTACGAAGATTGTCACGTGACATTTGTTGGTGCTATTCGGTCACGTGACTACTCATCTCTGACGTGTTTCCTGATAACTTATTCTTTTGTGATGAATTCGCTGAACTTTGGAGACATAACACATAACATGATAGATCATAATATACAGGTATACCTCGCCTTACGTCGGTAATTGGTTCCAGGAAAACGACTTAAGTCGAAAAACGACGTAAGTCGAATTTACTTGTCTCCGAATCTACTTGTCACTAGGCTAAACTATAAATTACTATTCCCAGTTCTGTATTTTATTTGTTAATGCATTTTTAATAATATATGGTTAATAAGAATCTATTTCAAGCTTACAAACAAATAAATTTTAGTCTTTAATATAGTACAGAAAAAAGTATTCTAAATTTACGAATGCATGCACTGTAAATACAGTACATACTTGTAAATGTGTATATTTTAATATGATTTTATGTGCTTTAAACGCTTTTCTAGTGATATTATGGCTTCAATATTTGTGGCGGACGGACGTAAAGTCGAATAAAATGACTTAAACTTGATTTTTATTTTTTCGTATACTTTTTTGACAAACGACGTATAATCGAGAACGACGTAACTCGAAACGACGTAAGTCGAGGTATACCTGTACTACAGTACTGTATTCTTACTGTAATTAGAGAGATTAGCCCATTTAAAAGCAGAGCAGAATTACTATTTATTTATCGCATTATCATATTTTAATCCATATTTAGAATGGAATGATGTTTTAATATTTCTATTAATTATGTCAGCAAAGTTCAGCGAATTCGTCGCAAAAAGAATAGAGAGGTTGCGACCGACGTTTTCATCGCGAAAACGTGTACGTCGGACGTTCAGCGCCGCCTTCTTGTAAGCCTAGAAGTTTGACAATGGCGTTTGATACGTCGAGCATGATTCGACTGACGTTCCAAACGCCATTGTCAAACTTGTAGGCTTACAGGAAGGCGGCGCTGAACGCCCGACGTACACGTTTTCGCGATGAAAACGTCGGTCGCAACCTCTCGTGATCGAATTGCACCAACAAATGTCACGTGACAATCTTCGTACTCGTCCGCCGTCCGATGTGCCGCTCCGCGACGAAAACAAGCTTAAACAATGGCGTCTTCTAACGGGGTACACTCGGTAAGTATTCCGACAATTCTTTTGTTTATAACATATTTTATATGGGTTATTCCCAAAAAATTATACGTGTTTTGGAAATATTCGAGTCGAATTAGTCTAGAATCGATTAATTTTATGGAAGAAAACCTTTTCAAATAGCCATACCCTCTAAACTGCACAAGTGCCCAATTATTAATTAATTAAACAGCCGGAAAAAAGTCCATTTTATTTGCATATTATTGGTACGTTAATTTTACTTTACAACAGGGAGAAAGTATGACCCTGAAGATTTTTATATTTTTGGATTCGGGGACCTTGAAACGTCGAGAAATGCAAAATATTCGGGATTTTTCCGTATGTATGGATGTGTTTTTGTGTGTGTGTGTGGGAGAAACAATTTTGTTCACCCTCTTCGAAGCTTAATAACTTTTGTATTTTGCCAAAAATTTCTGATATTTAGAAGGGAGGTTTGTTTATTAGGGGGATTGATGCTATTAAATTTCAATGGTTAAAGGCCATGTGGTGGGGAATAAAGGGGGTTGTGTAATATCTGGAGTAGATCAGACTTAATGATGATTTTATTTGTTGTTAGCATTTATTTTTTTTAATAAAATTCATCTGTACCTTCAAAATGAAGCTTTTTGCCATTTTATAATACAAGTCGACCCCCCTATAACACTGTTGATTATTCCATTTTATATGAATTGCATGTTGTACGAGTCAGTTAAATTTTACAAATATGTGAGCCGTTCACAGCCCAGCACATGTATTTCTAAAATCTAAGTGACTCGTACAACATGGAATTCATATAAAACGGAATAATCAATAGTGTTATAGGGGGTCGACTGTAATTAAAAATATTAAAAAATTTTAAATAAAATAGAATACAGCATGGAAATTGTTGATTGTCTTTGCTCTGCTGCAGTGATTCACCTAGATTGGCTATATGATTAACTGATTCAAATTGCACTATGTTTTGCTGCAAGGGACACTCTTATATTAAAAGTCCTCTCCCATGTTGAATTCAAAACTTTCTAATCACATATACTGTCTTTTAAGTAGATTCACACTGTAGATAAACTTTTGTGTCTTATCATAATAGAAATACAAAAATCACTAATGCAATTTTGTTTTCAATAAGCACAAGAAACAAAATCTCTTATTTCAGAGCCACCTGGATGCACACAAAATAATAGTATGACAGGAACACGTGTCTGCTGTTATTAGTCCTGTCGATGATTTGACTAAAGGAGCCTGAGGGGTGTTCGGGTTGGTTTGTGGAAGAGTTGAACTCATCATGAAGACAGATGGGAAAAATACATGAAAAAATATATATTTTTCAAGCAAAAGGTTTTAAATACAAATGCATTAAAAATAATATTTAGACTGTATTTCAAGGAATTTGTGACTAGCCTAGTCCCCCTAGCCACTGAAACAAATGTTTCAAGCAATGTACTTTTACTGTACTATGTTTCTATGGATCAGGCACAGTTTGTATAGAAAAATAAAATAAATATAAAATGTTAACCAAATTTCAATGATCAGATATTTTTCATTAGCTCATACAAACACCATGACCATTTATAAATCAATTACTGATAGCATACAAAAAGTAATATGCTTATAATAATTGTTTTCTTATCAAATGTTTTCATATGCATTTTGGTAAAGTTTTCACCTAGGTGACAAATAAAATTCAATGTAAAAAATTCTGAATTATTGTTAAATAAATGGAAGAAATTATTCATGGACATTGTACTTTGCATGGCTACATAAGTTTCTCATGTAATTGATTTGCATGTGTAACATGTACAGGAAATCCTTATTAATTTGAACTCAGACAATTCAAAATCTTGTTAGTTCATAACTGTACTATTTGTCCCAATCAGGGATAGATTTACATGTTAAAAAATTTGGTTAGTTTGAAATAAGGCTACTTTGACATTTGAAGTGAAAATTTTGTCCAAGCTGTGATATATATATATATATGTTAAATTGTTCATTTAAATTGAAGTGTCTCTACAATAAGAGTACAATAGACCAAGAACAACTCTAATCTGGTCAATATGGCTTTGCTTTTATGGTAACACATTTTTGTGTGTCACCTTACTTACATGGACTAATTTTTTTCTCTTATCTTATAAAATAAGAAGGTTTTGGAGTTTCAAGATTGGGCTACAAGCAGCAGACTGACATATTTGTAGGGCTCTAGGCTAGTACATTTAGTCAACTTATTAGTTTTTGGACATTTAGTCAACTTACTAGTTTTAGAACTCACTTCAAAAATAGTTTGGGTTACATTTCAAGGAATTCTACTTTACTTTTTATGAAGCCTACTTGGCAACCTGTGAGGTTCTTAGCAGACACATGCTTTTTACCTGCAGTTTATTTATATTATTACTATTAATTATTAATTAACAAAAATAGCATTCTGTATACATAGTTGTATTATGCTTGCTTAATAAATTACATCAGTTATGTAGCATTTTGCATATTGTACAGAAATATGTAAGTCTAAGATAATTCAAAGTCATGATTATTTTGTCCCTTGAATTTTGAACTAACGAGGTTCTCCTGTACCTAAATATTTATTATTTCAATCAAATTGCATATAACACTTCCTTTATAAATATTTTGTGATAAGTAAGGGTTATATTGATAATTGTGTATTATGGATGTATTTCATGTACTGTATTTGTGTAATGTGTAAAATTTTGTATTTGAATCAAGCTTATAAAATTAGTCTGAAGTTTATAAAATGCCTGGGATATAAGATAAATGTTATATTTCTAAACATTAAATTGTGTTTAGTGTAAAATAGATGTGCATAACAAAGGCCAGTGTCTGCTTTTCCATACAATTTTTTTTTTTTTCTGACTTATAAGAGATAGAGTTCACTTTTTCTACAAAAACAAAGTTATGTATCATTAGACTGTGTAAGACTCACAATCAGAAATTTTGTTATTATTTTTCCTACATCTCTAACATTAGGGAAAACTGACATGAACCAAATGACCTATAATTTTTGCTTATAATCAGTTTTACATACAAATAAGATTAATACTGATATTTAGATTAAATGTAAATGATATAGTTAAAAAGTTAGCACAATATAAATTGTGTATGTAAATGTTTTGTCACTTAATCTTATTAAAATATACACTTTTTTAAATATTATAAATTATTGCAAATAAGTTTTTAAAATAAATTTTTTATCCATTTTGATTATTTTTGTTAGCATATTGTTATAATGAACATATTAAGCTTCTAAAAATTACATTATTTCATACAATAGCAAAATTATTATTAAATTTTACTTTTAGTAATATGTAGTATCAACAAATACAGCAAAATAAAATATCAATCAAATTTGACATAGGAAATAAAAGTCTAGCAGTATAACCATGGAAAGCTCTACAGATTATAGGTGATTTTGACCTGTTTGAACAAATTTTACATTCCTGATGTAGTGACATTTTGCAAGTTTCTATAAATTTCACCATTAGGAAATTTATAAAATATTTAATTTATGAAAATTTATTTATGCATTTTGAAATATAATTTATTTTAAAACTGTAATAATCAATAAAAATAAAAACCATTCAACTATCCAGCAAAATTCTTTAATAATTTAAATAATAATGTCATATATGTATTAAATCATATGCCTCTGTGTCCTTATCATACAGTTTAATATTTAAGATGTCTACTCGGACTTGTTTTATTAATAGGATTATTATACCAATGACTTCGTTCAGCAAATTTAAGAAAACTTATCAGAAAAATCAGTCTATTTTTCACCTGTACACATTTTACACAATATTATTGTGTTTCAGATTGGTTCGTCCCTCATCAGCAGGTTTACAGCCAACATTTTTTAAAACAAATCATTAAAAATTATTACAAATTTATAAAATTCTGACAATAAAACTCGATAATACAAAATTACATTAAATAACTTCTTGATTTTTAAATACTTCAAAAAAATAAAATGTGTACAGATGAAAAATAAAGACTGTTTTTTCTGATAATTTTTCTTAAATTTGCTGAACGAAATCATTGGTATAATAATCCTATTAATAAAATAAGTCCAAGTAGATATCTTAATTACTAAATGTCATATATGCTTCATTATTTAAGTAAACCAGATGGTTTCTCTCTGTACTATTTGTTGTGCATGCTCTACTAGATGTTCTTTGGAAACAGGTCTATAGTATGACTATGATTATCATTATTCATTGTTGTTCTTAAAAGTAGAAGAAAAATCATTTGTTATATTTATGAAATAGCTAGATTTTAGAAAATAAAACTAGAGTGAAAGGTTGATTTAATTACAGCTTGTTAAATTCAGTGCTGTGGAGCAGTGCTGCAATCACTGCTGAAGGGGCAACACATACAGAGCTGCACTGCAATTTTAAAATGGTGAATCTCAGTGCAGCTGTTAAAATGTTTTGTGAATTATTTTATTCAAAAAATTTTACAAGTAATTCATTTTTGCAATATAAGACTTTGAGAGGTAAAATTAATGATTTAAATTTAATGCAAGTAGGTTTTTTTTTTTTCAGCATAAAGTAGATAGTAAAACATTATAAATATAAAAGTTTTATCAAATATTTTATTTTACTNTCACTCCATGCCCCAAGAACTTGCTTAGAATTGAAGATATTCCTGACCATGAAATTCCTCTCTGGTCAGTTGCAATTGCTCAGTCCAGTGGAAGCAGCCAAGGATTCGTCAAATGTATGTGTAAAACAAAGTGCCAAAATATGAAATGTCTTTGCGTGAAAAATGTAATGAAATGTAATTCAAAAAGTCATTCAAGCATACCATGTTGCAACAAGTAGGCTAATTTTAATTTCTTATTTTTTATATGAAAATTTTGTTTTTCTTAACAAGAAAGGCATAAATTCTGTTTTGTACAACTCATTGTTCTTTACGTATTTTGAATAAATTTTTTTTAATGGTGCACTCATTAGTTTTTCAGAATAACATTTGTATTTTTTGAGGAATGTACATCATTTATATAATAGCCTTATCAGAACCTTTTTCATACTTTGCCTAAATAGCATTTGTCATTCTATAGAATGTCTAGGTATTACATACAATGCCTAGGGAAAGTATGTAATAATTCTCATATTTCATATATTGCCTAAAAACGCTGGGCATTATATACAATGCCTAGGTATTCTATAGAATGCCGACTTTTCATACTTTGCCGGTAACAATGATATTGACTCAATAATTTCATTCTGTTACAAGTTTTGAAGAATTTTGGAGCAAATTTTTTGATTAAAAATCTATTATTACAGGCTATTCTATTTTAAGTACGTTTTTTGTTTTAATGACTTAAGTCATTGATTTAATTAGACCATTAAAATAATCTTGAACTTTCAATATAGTCATGATTATAATAAATATTGAGTCAATTAACTAATACATTTTAATTTAAAAATGTTTTATTTAATATTGCAGCATGTTGCAAAATTTTAATAAGATGTCAATATAAGGTAATTCTCAATATCAATATAACAAGATATTGATATATCTGCAAAAAAACAATTAATTCAAATTTTTGGAAGACACTAGCAGTGAAAGATAATTTAAATGTAACAGATTTGTTTTCTACACACCTTGTAACAATTTTTGCTATCTCTTGCATTTATGCCATTTTTATTGTGGTATTTTTAAAATTAATAATTACATAATTAGTTATGATTTGCATATGGTGGTTGCTATTTAATGATCAGCAGTTTAACTGGACTAGAGTAAAGTTTGAAGAAATTTGAAAGTATGTACTTCTAATATCATGTAGCTTCATTACTTTTTATATTATTTATCTTGAAAATTTTGATGGTAAATAAGTGATTTTTGACAAATAAATGTTTTTGTTTTAATGAAAATAGTTATTGTAATAATTCATTTTTTATTACTAAATTAATTTTTTAAATTCTAAATTGTATTTTATTTATTAAGTAATTTTATAACTTATATGTAATTAATTAGCTTTTGAATCATTGGACCATGCAAGTATATTTGGGGGCAGGGTGGGTACGGCTGTCTCCGAATCCTTGACTGTCTGGCATTAGCAGAGAATTACTTGGCTGCACTAGATGCTGGATGGATCAAGATGAACTGGGCAACCAATCCTTGAGAAGCTACTTGACAACTGTTACAGCTTAGGAAAAACAAATAAACCCCTAAATGGCCAGGAATGAATTCTTGTCCCGTGTCTGGAGCACATTGCCGTACCGACTCGGTCACCTTAACAGCACTGTATGTATAGTTATTTAGATATGCGTTTTTATCTTTTAAAATTTTAATTTAATTTTAATTAATTTAAATTTAAAAATTCTTTCATTTTTATAAATAGCTGATCTAAATGCCAAGGATCGATTTGATGCAACTGCAGTTCATTTGGCAGCTGACTGTGGCCATCATAATTGTTTGAAATTATTATTAGATGCTGGTGCAGAGTGTTGTACACCAACAAAATATTCAAAGAAAGGATGTTACACAGGTATAAAAATTATCACAGAATAAAATGAACAGTGTTTATTACTAACATTAATTTTAGTATATAAATCAAATTTTAGATAAAAACAAAAACAATATAACCTTCATTAAAGTTTTAATAAAGTTAATTAAAAATTTTTGAATTAATGTATAATAAAGTAAAAAATATTATAATAATATATTTGAATTAATAATCTCTGGTTAAATGTTCAGAACTGTTTTAATATAGAGTATGCACTTAATTTTTACATCTCACTCTGTGCAAATTTTTTATTATTTTATTATATTAGTAATACAGTAACTAAATTATATCTGCAATAAACTATTCACCATCCATATTTTACAAATTGATTCTATCAATACATTTCAATTAGAAGTATTAAAAGTAACACACTCATTTTAAAGTTGTCAGATTTATATTTAGGAAAGCTACAAATAAGAATTTGGTCAAATACTAAATATTCAAAGGAAAATTGAAAATTGTCTGATAACATAAGTAGATTTCTTTTAGTTTTGAATAATTTTTCTTACGTCAATGATTTTTTCATACTGTTCAATAAAAAACATTTTAAAAAACTGTTACTTAAGTTCTAATCATACTATGGGTTGATGTTACTTAAAACAGGGAAAAACTTTTTATTCAGTAATTTATCTGTTGTAACTCATTATGTATTTTTTTTTTCTAAATATATAGATATTTAGAAAATAAAATTTAAAAACTAATTTTCTGTGTTTGTTGCATTTGCTTATCTTAAAAGCTGATACTCAGATTCATTCCATATTTTAATATTTAAAACTAAAAAATATATTTAACTTGTCTTTTTAGGAGTCAATTAATAATTATCAATAAATATTTTTAAAGCTTCTTACTTCATCTTCAGACCTATGCTTTAAAGTTTTGTTTTATTTTTAATGTGTGGCTAATCAAAATGTAATACAGTTCTGAACATTTNAGACCATTTTTTTTTTTATTTAAATTATATAGTGAAGATTTTAAAAACTTTTCTAAAATAGATGTAAAGTTTTTGTTGGGAACAAGTTAAGAATAAATGTTAGCTGAACACTTTATAAAAATAGATGCATTAATATTTGATTTGAACTCAAACTTAATCTTGTTCAGATCTTTCTAAAACCAAACCCAATTTGATGGTAAAATTGTTAGTGTCCATATTTGTTGTTTCCTTAAAATATTGATAAAACTTTAATATTACAATAGACCCCCTATAACACAGGTTCATATAATACAGATTTGTATAACATGGCGAAAAATTTGCGATTGTATTCGTATAAACACACTAAAAGAGATTCGTATAATACGGTAAAATGTCATCGCCGACTTGTGTTGTGACAGGATTGGTCGAATCTAGACCAATAGCAGATATTGCACAAACCATTGAGTTTAACCCCTTAATGTCCATATCAATAAAAAAAATCTTTTTTAAAAGCATAGTCATTATTATTACTTAAAAAAATTCTTCATTTCAATTGAAAAAAAGTGGTTTTTTTCGATTTTTCAAATTTGGCAAAAATTGGTTCCTAAATGGCAGCTTTCCCTCTGGATAGCCAACTTCCCACTGCAATTCACTTACGCCAACCTTTTTCCCAATCCTCGAAACATGCTTTAAAGACCCTTTCATGAAACCCCTTTAAGACTTTTGGTGAATTTTGTTTTCAACTCAAAATAGTGAGCACAAAGTGGAAATTTTAGTGAGAAAACAAGAAAAAGTTGCACAGTGCCATATTAGATGAATACAGAGCTTGCAGAACCATATTTGTTGAATTTTTGGACAAAAATTCACCAACAACATTGTGAGCAGGTGCATTATCATGGTGCAAAATCCATAAGTTTTCTTGCCACAAATCAGGTAATTTTTACAAATTGTTTCATGCAAATGATGCAAAATGCTTAAATAATTTTTATTGACAGTTTGGCAGTTAGAAGGAATTTGTGATTCAAAACATCTTGATAATCAAAGAAAATTGTCAACACCAACCTTGATTTTTGACTGACTTTGACATGGTCTTTTCAGTCTTGCTTCATTGCTTCACCTTTCGAATACCATTCACTCGATTGTTGAGCTGTTTTTGTGTCAGAAGTGTAGATCCATGTTTCCATCACCTGTAATAATGTGTTTTAAGAACAATTTGCTTTGAGAAAACATTTCCTCAGTCACTCATTGTTTTTGGAAAAAATTCAATGTTTTCAGGACAACTCAGTGATACACCACAAGCCTAATGATCTTTTAAAATTACTTACAAGATATAAATGATACCTGAACATGTTCAATAATGTTCTAATTGTCAAATGATGATCATTGAGCACCAAATCTCTGACTTGAACAACATGTTCGTCAGTTCAAATGGGTGGTCTACCAGACCATGGTTCATCTACAATGCATTTTCAGCTTTCCTTGAATATCTTGACCGTTCATTCTTGTTTTTGATAGACAATCATAACCAAAGGGTTTTTGCAACAATTCCAATGTTTTGTAGCAGTAATTCCATTGTAAAACAAAATTTAATGCACTGTCTTTGCTTAATTACACTTGAAAATTTACCAGTACAAAAATTCTTTACACACAAACAAGTGTTTATTTGCAAACTAAAACAAATGACACATACAGATTGCTGCTACCTGTCGATAAAAGTCATACCAAATGATGAAAAAATGACAACAGCACCCTGTTGAAGTTTAAATGAACCATTCCTGATACTTTTTGATCACAGTAGTATATTGCTTGAAAAATCTTGAAAACTGCAAATTCTTAAGGAGTTTCACTTTTACATTGAAATCAGAATTCTTATTTTTGAAAAATGTGTAAAGAATTACTTTTCATGAACACTTTTATTTGAGCTGTTATATGATAATCAAAAGTTACATAATAAAGTTTATTTAAGTCCAATTTTTATAAATTGATTATGAAGTAAAGCTTATTTAAAATATTTTTTTCCTTGAAGGTAAATAGAAAAAATTGACATAAATACAAAACTTATTTTAAAAATGTTTTTTGATGTTTGAAATTTAAGTACCAAAGGTAAAACTAAATGCCAGTTTGTTTTTAGTCTATATTATGGCCAATTATTTAAATTCTAAATTTAGTTGTTTTATTGGAAGCAACTAAATTACAAATAACATGTAGCTAATACAAACCAGTTTTTACTGTCCTTAAAATATATCTGAGCACATTCAAGACAGCTATTTTAAGTAAGGTTGGAAAGAATGGTCTTTTTCTTGTACCGTGATAACACTGATTGCACTGCAATAAGGAAAAACTAAAGATACTTATGTTCTAAGGTTTTTCCATTTCTTTTTAATATCTTCCTGTAAAAAAAAGGAAATGTTATATTTTATAAAAGTTGTTAATATAACTTACTGTTTTTAAATGTATTGTAAATTATAAATGTACAAAATAAATTATTATTATTATGTTGGGTTTAGTGGTTACTCAGTTCACACCGGTGGCTGTGTACTATGCCGGACCAGAGTCAAGGCATAGCAACCAAAAACAAAAATTAAATAAGTGTGTCAGTGTCAGTTATTATTATGTTGGGTTTAGTGGGTTATACTCGGTACACACTGGTGACTGTGTACAATGCTGGACCAGAGTCAAGGCATAACACACAGAGAGCTAAAATTAAATAAGTGTGTGTGTCTGTATTCAGGAATTTCCTAACAATATGGCATGTATTCAATATAGTGGCCTTCTGTAGTGTGATGTATGTATTTCTATTAAATTCTAATGTTCCCAGGCTTTTGTGTAGTGTGTGTGGTATCTCACATGTACAGGAGAGAATGAAAGGTACAATAAGCACCCTATCCATCCTCCACAGATGCCTGATTTCCTGGGCGAGTTCTGTGTACTTACTGATTTTTTCAGTGCATGTGTTTTGTACATTGTGAGTGTTTGGAATGGCTATGTCTATAATGTATGTGATTTTATTGTGTTTGTCAATGAGTGTGATGTCTGGTCTGTTGTGGTAAATTGTTTTATCTGTGATTATGGCTCTGTCGTAGTACATTTTGTGCGTGTTGTTTTCCAATACTGTCTGTGGAATATACTTGTAGTATGGTTCGTGGATGTCTACCAATTTGTGTTTCTTTGCAAGCTCTTGGTGTATTATATTTGCTACTTGATTGTGTCTATGTAAGTAATCTGTCTGTGCCAAGAGCTTGCAACCAGAAGTGATGTGTTGTATAGTTTCTGGCATGATGTGACATTTTCTGCATGTGTCATTTGTGAGTGTTGTATCTTTGAGTATGTGTTTTCTGTAGTTTTTAGTATTTATGACCTGATCCTGTATGGCAATCATGAATCCTTCCGTCTCCCCAAAGAGGCATCCCCGATCTAACCAGCTGTTTGACGCAGTTTTGTCAACAAAATCCTGGCCCAGGTCATAAGGATGCCTGCCATGCAGTGCCTTTTGAGCCCATGTTTGCTTGATGGTGTCTATGCTTTTTATGTGTTGTGTCATGTCTGTATGATGTGAGTGTAAGTTTAATGGTGTGCTATTTGAGTCTGCTAGAGTTACTGCTTCATGCAATTGTGATGTTTCTTGTTTCCTGTAGAAAAACTCTCGCAGTGACTGTATTTGTTTATAGTGAAGATTAACTGTGTCAATCAGGCCACGTCCGCCATCTTTACGTGGAAGGGTTAATCTTTCTGTGGCAAATTTAGGATGATGATGTTTATGCTTAGTAAGTGTTCTTGTTTTCCTTTGGAGTTGCTCGAGATATGTGTGAGTCCAATATATAATTCCAAAAGAGTATGTGAGTATTGGGATGACATATGTGTTTGTTGCTTTAACTGTGTGTTTTGCATTTAGCTATGTTTTGAGAATGGCATTTAATCTACTTTGGTATTCTTTAATTAATCTTTGCTTTATTTGTGTATGTTCTGTTAGTTTGGCCCGTTGGAATCCTAAATACTTGTAGAACTTGCCTCTTCCATGGATTCAATAATGTCTCCATTTCCAAGTGCAAAATCTTCTTTCTTTAGGATTCCTTTTTCTATGTGAAGTTTTTTGCATTTGTCTAGGCCAAACTCCATTTGTATGTCCTTAGTGAATGAATGTATGATTTGTAGGAGTTGATGAAGTTGTTTTTGTGTGGAAGCATAAAGTTTTATGTCATCCATGTACATGAGATGAAACAGCGTAAACTGTGTTGTGTTTTCATGTTTGATATTGTAGCCATAATGCATGTTGTTTAACATGTTGGATAATGGGTTCAGGGCTAGACAGAACCAGAGAGGACTCAAGGAATCTCCTTACTCATTAGGCGAGGAATTGAAAAATTCCTTGCCTAATGAGTAAGGAGATTCCTTGAGAGCCTAATGAATATTCGTTTGTTTGTATGGAAGTATTACTAACCCTGAGATGTAGTGTTGTTTGTTCTCCAGTGATGCATAGTGTTTTGGAAGAATGCAATGAGTGATGGATGTATTTTGTACATGTGTAGAATATGTAGCAGCCAACTGTGTGGAACACTGTCGAATGCTTTTCTGTAGTCTATATATGCCATGTGTATGTTTCTGTGTTGTTTGTGTGCTTGCCGTAGAATGACTGAATCTATGAGTAACTGTTCTTTGCATCCCCTGTGATTTCTACGGCAACCTTTTTGTTGTTCTGTAAGAATGTCGTGTTCTTCAACATGTTTGTATATTTTGTTTGTGATACAGGATGTCAATAATTTGTAGAGTGTTGGAAGACATGTAATTGGTCTGTATTGTGTGGGGTCTGTGGTTTTGTTGTTTTTAGGTTTCATGTAGGTAATGCCCCGAGTAAGAAATTTTGGCATGTCTTGTGGATTGATGATGATGTGTGTTAGATGTTTAGCTAGTTCCTGGTGCAGTGATGTAAACTTTTTGTACCAGAAATTGTGAATGTTGTCTACACCAGGTGTCTTCCAGTTGTGTGTTCTGTTAACAGCGTAGCGAATGTCGTGTATGTTTATTTCAGCACAGGGCATACTTGGTATGTTATGCAAGTTTCTGTTCTCCTCCTTGATCCAGCCTGCATCAGCATTGTGTGTAACAGCATTGGACCAAAGAGAAGACCAATAAGTTGTGAGTTCTTCTTCTGTTGGTGTGCCACTGTGCTGTGTATCAGTGTTTGTTTTGGTACTGATTTGTCTGTAGAAAAGTTTTTCATTGTTTGTGAATAATTTATTTTGTTGTTTTCGTAGTGTACATGTTTTGTATCGTTTGAGTCTACGTGCTTTGGCTGCGAGTTTTTGTTTTAGTGTATCGATGTATTCTGTAATGTGTGTGTTGTGATGTTCGTGTTTTGTGTGTGTTTTGATTTTCTTGAAAATGTTTTTGAGTTGTTTCTTTAATTTGGGTGTTATGTTGTTTTTAGTGTATTGTGTCAGCCTGCCTAATTGCTGTCTAATGTCATTTATTTGTGTTTCTATTCTTCTCTGCCAGGCAGGCTTGTGATAGAATTGTGTTTTGTGTGTGTCTGTCTGTGAGTGTATTTTCAGTCCATGGTGTGTTACTACTGTGACTGCCCCAGCATAAACTAATGTATGAATGTCTGAGAGTGTAGAAATTGAATGAATGTAGTTTGGTAGTAAGTGAGTGTTTACATAATCTAGTGTTTTTCCTACTGCCTTTGACGTGTTGATTTTTGGTATTCGTGGTCTTTGTGTGGGATCTGTACCAGTATATTTAATGAGTGTTTCCTGAAATATAAGTGAGAGCGTATTAACTAATTCTATGTCTACGTTATCAGTGATGGATGGGGAAGTGCCTGCAGTATCATTAGTGGTACTTGTTGTGTGTGTGCTGTAATCAGTGCTTGTTGCTGGATTATCCTGACAGGTTACGTGATCTTCATTAATGTTAAATGTTTCTGTCTGTTGATGTATTTGATCAGCAACCTGTTGTTTGATAAGTTCAAGTGTTGTTTGTGGGATAAGGTTGTTGTGTATAATTGTTCTTTTTTGATCAACAACCCTTTGTTCGGTGACAGTGAGGTGAGGATATTGTTGTGTGAATCTATGGTGTAGTTGTTGTCTGTATGCTGTCATGTTTGTTTCGAGTCTTGTGATGGTGTAGTAAGTACGGATGATAAACTTGTTTATTTCTGTTGTCCATTTCATCCGTTGGCATGGTTTTCCAGCCTTTGTGGTCTGTGGATGCATTGCCACAGAAACACCAAGGCTAGGTTGATTTCTCACATCTGTTGAGGGCATTGCAGTAGCCATGCTTGGGCTGGTGCTGCTTTCGCCACCGATAACCAAGGGAGACTATGGCCTATTTTTCGAACGTGAGCCTCTGCCTAACCCACGAATGTGGACCTTGTTAACCCGGGCGACGTCCGGGCCGGTATCACACTTTGATCTGGTTACTACCGTGATAATTATCTTCACATAATGTGGGTGTGTGGTCACTCTTAGCTTCATTTCTCCCCATAGATCTTACTGGCATGGGTGTCCCTACCAGGAGCTTGTGCTCCAGCCTGCATTGCCCTATGGATCAGTAAAATTACTGGGCTCTCCCACCACGACCAGGTGGTGACCACGGGAGAGTTATTATTATTATTAAGTAAAAAAATTGCTTTTATGGCACTTGAGAATTCACAAAAGCAACAAAATTAGTTAAATTTATATAGTATTTAAAAAGAAAAAACAGATGCAATATCATACTCTTGAAATAAGTCAAAACTTATATACTACTCCACTCATTTATTTTTGTAATTTTAAAATTTTTAATCTCAAGTAACTAAGTTTTGTAATATATGGTTGACAGAATTGTCACCACAGAAATTTATTTTGTTTTTTAGAATTATTCTCCTCTAGACTTATTCACATCTATCCAGAATTGTTCTTTTTCATTTCTTACAATGCAAGATTGAGCTTTATTTTACTAATAATACTTAATATTTAATTGAATTTGAATATTATAAATGTGTAATTTATTTTTAAACTATTTTTAAACATTTTCAATAAGTTTAATTTATTGTTGAAATTAAAAATACTTTTTATTATTATTCAGCATCTCCATATCCAGGTGGAACAACTCCATTACATCTAGCAGCTGCTCACAGTTATGTAGAATGTGTCAAAGAATTAATTCAGTATGGTGCAGATTATAATGCAGTAGATGAGAGGGGAAGAACAAGCTTATATATAGCTGCTGAAGCTGGTTATGCTGATTGTGTTTTAACTCTTCTTAGAAATGCCGTTGGTAAAGATATTTTATCATTGCCAGGATTAGAAACAGGTACTATTGAGAGAATGCTTAATATTAATTTTACTTTTTAAACATTTTAAAAAATTAACATTTTTTTGATAAATGAATAAGTGTGTTTGTGTTTGTTTCTTTTATGATGTATTAAAGGGAAACTGCATTCCAGAATATATACACACACGTTTTTTTATAAGTGCCGTGATAATTTATCTATACTAATGTTATAAAGAGGCAAAGTTTGGATGTAGGAAGTAATCTGAAACTACTCATCCAATTTCAAATATTCTTTCACCAATATTTAGAATGGAACTTCAGGGTGGACATAGGCTGTATATTAGTCCGTTAAACATTCATATAAATTACAAGATATCATCTAGGATTAAGGCTTTTATGTGAGGATGAACTAAAGCAGATCTTTTATCTATCTCTATCTATCTATATGAATAAAGATGTAATGTTCGTTTGTTCCTACTGATTCCTTTGAAATTTTGACACAACCTTGCATTCGAATATGCACGTGTTTTTATATAATATACATGTCGAAATTCCCCTCACTGGGAAGAGATGGACAGGATTAAGGCTTACTGTGAAGAACTTGGCTTCTATTATACTATTTTAGATGCGGTTTTTTGTGATTTTGATTGCGTTTTAATAGGATGCATCAAGAGAATATGTACTAAGAAGGAATTTTTCGAAAAATTCCTTCCACGGGGGAAGTATTATACATTATAATAGATACATTTTTAGCCACAACAATGAGTAGCGGGGTCTGCTAGTATTCTATACATTGCATTTATGACAGTGAAAATTTTTACTTTAATAACTTTTAATTGTTTAATTAGAAATAGCATTTATAGTAATGCTTGCCTGATGAATCACAATATTATTATTTTTAAAAATATCAATTTTATTATATTCTTATAAAAATTTGTTCATTACAAAATTTTTATGCCATTATAAATATAATAGTGTAAAATTATAAAATATCTGTAGCTGTACTGTTTTCTTTCTGGAATATTGTGAAATAAATAACGCATTATGCAATAATTGGATTTATCTTCTGCTTTTGGTAATGGATTTGTCCTTTTGACTGTATCTATACTTGAAATGTTTCAGTAAATTTTCTGCATTATTTAATTTAACCAAAGCTTTTTTATTTTATATTCACACATCAAGATGGAGATAATGCTAAATGATAGGGCAGATAATATGGGAAAATTACAGTTGACTCCCCATAACACTGTTGATAATTCCATGTTGTACGAGTCACTTAGATTTTACAAATAGATGTGCCGGGCTGTGAACGGCTCACGTATTTGTAAAATTTAAGTGACTCGTACAACATGGAATTCATATAAAACGGAATTATCAACAGTGTTATAGGGGGGTCAACTGTATTTCTAATGATAAAAAAATATCAAAAATAGAAGTGAAATGAATAATGCAGAAACACTGTATAATATGAAATATCTTTATTACTAGTCACTGAAAAAATATATTACAGCTATAATAGAAAAGCATAGTTGTAAAGCTAAATAAAAAGTAGTAGGTAAATTAGAATTTTATCTTTTTTAATGAATTGTTTTAATGCCTTTTTGAGATGAATCACATATGGCATATGAGATAGTATGATAAGAGCTGTCAACTAGCTATAAGAAAATTACTTAACAATTGCAGGAATAGTTCATTATTA